ACTCGTTAGGTAGCAGAGTTGAAAAAAGTAAAGTACTGAGAGGTATAAAGAATGAGATAGAAAAAGTCTGTATTGCCAGTGATGTGATGCCCTCAGGTGGAGTCCCATCTTAAGTTCTGGTCACCTCATCTCAGAAAGGATAGAGAAGTAGTAAATGGGTTCAGAGATGACAGGAATGATGAAAGACTAGAAAAAGTGGCATATGAAGACAGATTGCAAACACTGTGACTGTTTAAAGCAGACTTGATAAAGTTATGCAAAATAAATGGTCTAGAGAAGATAAATTGGTGACTTCTCTTCACCCTTTTCGGTACCAGAGTAAGAAGGTATTCAGTGAAACTGATAGACCATTTTACACCAAGTATAATTAATCTGCACACAAGTATAATTGTGTATAATTACACAAGTATAATTAACCTGATTAAGAAATCATTGCCACAACACATGTTTTAGGCCAAATGTTAAGCTCAGGAAGATTCAGAAAATGATTATAGATTGACCTGAAGAATAAAAATGTAATCCATGCTTGTATCATAGGGCTCCCTGTTCCTCTGTGGAATGAGCCACATATAAATGGTGTGTGGATTTGCCAGAATCTCTGATTGGGTGTTTTGGTTTATGGACAGGATATTCTATATGGACAGGATATTCTATAACTGGCATTGCTGGGTCAGGATACTGAATTCATGACCACAGCTCTAACCCATTCTGGCAGTACCTTTGGTCCCCACACACATATGTGTCCTCTCAATTCTTAGTTATCATGTGTGCTAGTTAACAACAGTAATGGACTATGCCCTTTCCCCATATCGTTTCCCCATGCACACATACTTCCATTGCCAAGTGCCCAGATAAATAGACCTGCATGCCCCTATTAACTTTTGGTTCTCAACCTTTCTAAGTCTTTAACCCAAAAAACTGACCAAAAAAAACATCCTATGACCAACTTAACCCACAAGTCTTTGTGGCTGCAAAGATGATGGGATTTAGGTCACAGAAGACAAAACAGAAGGGAACTAATTTCAGTGTAATAAGTGTATGTACTGAATGTAGGGACACTGTCCTGATGGTTGGGAGTGTTTTTGGGTTGGCAGTTGATTGTAGTCATTTCCTTCTCCTCTTTACTGCTTGGCTTTGGATATGTGCTGCTTCTGAAGGCTGTTGAGCAGGCACAGTAGCTTTTAAAATGCTGTCTTTTATTCTGTTGTTTTTGTCTGCATGATCCTGCTAATATTTTTTCTTAACCCTTGCATTGCAATCCATTTGGCACTCCTTAGTGTTAGCTAAGAGCCCGCCAGGGGTTGCGATGCAATGAGGTATGTGGCATCAGTGACAGCATGTTATCTTGTCCCCAGGTCAGTTTTTGACTCCTCTCCCCAGCCTCTCCAAACACTTTTGTCTGAATTCTTCAGCAAATAGGATGAAGACATTGCGTTAGATTCTTCTCTGTGCATGTCCAGTTAGCAGGTGTCATTACCTTTAGCAGCATGTCTCATTTGGCGGGATTGGGGCCTCTACATATTTAATTTTTTCCCATTAAAAATTCATGAAACAATGGTCCCTTTCTTATAACCCCTAATTAGCTCCCACTTTCCATTTCCATGTGGATTGTTTCATTTCATTTAGAACAAGGAAACAAGTCTTTCCCCTACTTCCTCTTTGTTGGTTGTCAGTGATGTGAAAGAAGAAACACTGAGGAAGTTGATGAAATGTCCTGATGGCTCCAAACAAGAGTGAGGCTACAAGAAGGCAGGAAAACTTAGTAGGCAAGACACATGGCACATTTCTGAGTTACATATACTGTTACCATGGGCAAATTCATGGCATCTGCAATTATATAAAGAAGAGCAGGGAATAAGTGGACTCTCAGGAACTTACTGCTATGGAAGATCAAGTGTAAGGATTTACAGCTTGTGAAGGGAAAAGCTTACAATCCTAGCATGGAACCTTGATTGATAAGAGTGAAATCAAGTGCTTGGATACAGAATAAGACGTCTATTATAAGACTGTTCCCAGGAGCATGTAAGAAGTGGAGTTTTTATGCAGTTTTGAGAGACATTTAAAGTCCTTAGACAAAGTTCTTTATCAAAAATTAAGTATCTTGCAAATGGACCTAATTTTGATTGATATCATTGTGATTAGCATAATATAAAGGCTCCACATATTCATAATTAAGAGTCCTTAGTATGATGAGAACAAGAATACATGTTGCTATCCAGCACCAGGAAAGAGTTAAGGTTACTTGAGGAGAAAATTTCCATAGTTTTAAAAACTTGCTTGTAAGCTTAACCTTAACCCTAAATTTCCTACCTTCCCAATGTTTGTTTTTTGGTCTATAGAATGTTCTTGTGAAGGTTTTCTTCCTGTATTTTTCTGTACTCTTAACCATAGGAACCTTAATAAGAATTAGTCTGTGTGTGAATATACAGTTTGTAAGGCTGCAAAGTATTCTGTCATTCTTTAAATTAATCAGTAATAACACTTTTAGATGGAACAAACTGGAAAGTGATAATACACTAGAAAATTGCCTGGAATTACCCTGCTTTTATGTTTCCAATATAAGACCTGTTAGAGCAGTACATTCCAAAATGAAATACCCGATTCTGGCACCCATACTCAGGCAGAACAGCTCCCTCTGAAACGAGCAGGACTGTGCATGGCAGAAGGTAGTAGTGTAATATTGAGTAGGCTTTGGCAAACTGGGCATGAGCCCCGGGTGGTGCCTCAGGGGAAAGATTTAGGGGATGCATTACCCTCCCATCTCACCCAGCATATTTTTTTTGCTTGATATGCATGTCAGTGGCAGAAAAGACAGTTACATCTCTCCTGGCAGCATGAAATCTCTGGCTACTGCAGCATGCGCTGCCACTACCCAGGGCACAGCCCATCCTAAAGGTAAGGCAGGGTGGCATATTAAGTTCAGAAACCCAATTAGTCTCTAAGGAGCCAGCCTGGCCTGCCTTGTGCATGACTCTTGAGTAACACCTCTGTGCACATGATGTAAGCCATACTCAGATGATCAAGACTAGCAGAACTGTTCCCTAGGACACAGCAACAGTAAAAGAATGGGCTGTTGCAGTACTGTTCCAGGAGCACCACAGTGAAGGAATAAATCCCTCCATGCTTTTCCTCTGGTGGGTGTGGTGGGAATAAAAGTAGGTGGAAGGACCACATTGTATGGAGCTAAAGAATGGAAGGGTGTCTATACACACGCTCTGGGGTGGGGGCATTTTAAATAGAGCGGCTCTCAGACAGTCGCTCTAATTAAAATGCCCCAGTATCACGTGCATTCAATGTCCTGCATTTCAAAATGGCGGCAGGGGCGCTTTAACTAAAACTCATCCGACGAGTTTTAGTTAAAGCATCACCACCACCATTTTGGAACCTGATGTGCTGTGTGCCACACACAGAGGCTGCCCATGCCACCTAAGGCACATGTGCTGCAGGTTGGACAGCCCTATACTATATCATCAAATCTGTTCTCTGGAGGGACTTTGCATAGGATGTATCAGAGAATAGCCTGATACCACACTCTGGCTGAAAGGTCAAGGGGTTGTACTGGAATGGAACTTACGATCTGGTCAACCCCCTCTTTCTGACATTGGCCCTCATTGAGATAGTGTCATTTGCCCTGGATTTTTTTGATATGAAGACAAAGGATCTCATTACCCTTTGCTCTGTGCCATGTGTGGCCATGTACACCAGTACAGAGTCAATCCAGTACACTCTGAGTATGGTAACAACATGATTAAGATGTTTCAGTAGCAATCCAGAGCTGTGACTTCAGGCTTGACTTCAGACTCCTGCTGTTGAGTGGCCTACTCCAGCATCAGGTACTTACTCATTCCAATTGGGGAATAAAACACAACTCGGCTTGATGCCAGCCACCATTTCCTTCTCTGCCACTGGCTGTAGATATTACTGTGCCTTAACAGCACAAGCCTGATGGACAGCTGAGGCTCAGGACAGACCTTGGACTTGGGTAATTAACAGCAATAGAGTCTAGCCCACAAAGGACTCCTGTGGTGGTACCTCTTTGAGGCCTGTTCTGGTCTAGGACAAAAGGTTTATTTAGGATCTACCCCAACCAAGGTGCAGTTTAAAGGTGTTATATTGTATTTACATTAGGTCCCAAGTGGTTTTTGCAGTGGCATTCAAATAGTTAAATAACACCTATTAGGCTCATCCAGACAAGGCCTAAATGGCACCAATGTGCTTACTGGCAAAGCATCACTTTAACATCTTCAGATCAGATTGGCAACTAAGCACATAGTCTCTTGATTAGAAGCTTCTTCACTAGATCAACCTTATAGCATTTGGAGATGCTTCCTCAGCCTGACAAAGGGTATTTATACCCAAAAGCTTGCAAAGAAGAATTTTTCCAACTATTTGAGTTGGTCTAATAAAAGATAGCAGATTTACCCAAAGAACCTTGTCTGCCTATGTCCTTAGACCAACATGGCTACAACCTACACCCTTATAGCATTTAAAAGCATTTGTAATTTTGTTCTTACTCTGTAGACTGCCCGTTAGATCTTTTGCACTCGCTGTTCACGTGATTCTATTTCTGTCTTCAACAAGAACCAAACCATCCAGCAGGAAGCGGTTAGAAACCTATTTTCTATGTTTATGTTTCGTCAGTTCAAGGACAGGTAATCAGTAAGGGACACAAATCAAGAACTCCCCTTTACATTTCCCCTACTTTCCTTGTTATGTGGCTTTAATTTCTTGTGACACTGAAGTAGGGAATCATTTCAAGATCATGGAAATGAAGTGTATCTTTGGGAAAATAAATGATTAGCTTTAATGATCCTGTTGCTATTTTGATCACTATCTCTCCCCAGGACTTGTTTACATCCCTGCCTGTTACTAGCACACAGGGCACTGGGGTAGGAAGGGGCTGGGGAGCTTTCTATCAGTTCCACCCCTTGCGTTGTTTACATCAAATAAGTGTCTCCTGCTCTTTAGGGGAGGTGCTAACCCTAAGAGGACTCAAACAGAATAAATTACATGCAGGAACCAAACCTAGCAGAAGCAGCTTGCTAGTGAGTTTTGATTTCAGCAGAGGTAATCCCAGAATCCTAGAGACATGTTACAGGTTGGGCTGAGCTTTTCCAGCTGCCCTGAAGGCACTGCTATTGATTTCCCTTCAGACAAGTCTGGGAAGCAGAGCAGGTGTAATTCTGTCTTGGTGAATTCAGAGGAAGGTGACATGGAAGCCCCACAAGGTAGGTCAGCTCCTGAGAAGGACCTGCATCTTTCTGCACAGACAGTTAAATGTAGCAGCTGGTAAAGGATGCGTTCTTGTTTACACGAATGATGCAATTGCATCCTCTTAACTGGGTAGGTGCCGCTAACTAGAAGAGGTCAGTTGGGCTAAATCTGCTTCTTTATTCTGCCCTATTTCCAGCACGTTTTCTTTGCAATGCTGTATTTCCTGGGGCATGGCACACTGAAGAGCAGTGCAACTGAGGCAGTACTCCACTGCTAACAGGCTAAAGAAAGAGGAGATCTTTTGTAATAGAGCTGAGTGAATCAGTCTGATCATGGATGTATTTGGTACCCATGTTTATCTGAGACAAAAAGAAATGCAAAACTCTAGAGCTCTTGGTTCAGAAATGATCCCTTTTATTAGACCAACTAAAAATTCACAAAAAATTATCTTTTTCTGCAAGCTTTTGGGCACATGCACCCTTCTTCAGGCTCAGGGAAAATTAAAAATGGTAAAAAACCCCCATAGGTAGAAAAGAAATTTCATTTTGCACAGAGTAAGCTGAAGGTAGAAGTCTGTTCCTCTGGGTCCATGAGGGTGTCTTTGTGAGTTGCTCATTGATGTGCAGATAAGGCAGGATTCCTTCCCTGGTGGTATCAGATGGCAGAAAAGCAGGGTCGTGTAGAAATCTTCCTTGTTGTTCAGCAATGAAATGTAATTGCAAAATTGGCCAAAATTCAGCATCTTCCATGTTTCAGGGATATATTTGGTAGCCGTGTTGGTCTAAGACCAAAAGAAATCAAAACTCTCGAACTCTTGGTTCAGAGATGATCCCTTTTATTAGACCAGCTAAGAAATCACAAGAAAATTATCTTTTTCTGGAAGCTTTTGGGCGCACACACCCTCCCTCAGGCTCAGGGAAAATTAAAGATGGTATAAAGTCCCCATTTTTTTGTGATTTCATAGTTGGTGTAAAAGGGATCATCTCTGAACCAAGAGTTCGAGAGTTCTGTATTTCTTTCAGTCTGATCCTTAAACAGGAGCTAGGGACTGGATGGCTCAGGGGACTGCCAATGAGAGACAGGTATCACCTCTAAATCATTGGCTTGTATCCATGCCGAGATAGAAAGACGCTTACGTATAAGAGTTGTTTGGGGAGGTGGGCCTGAGTGTAGTAAATATCAACATAACAGCGCATGTAGACGAAACGAGTGCCCTAAATTGAAGCGGCAGTGGGTTTTAAAAAACACTGCTTCAATTTAGGGCTGATTAAACCCCCATGTTGTGCACACAGCCCACTGACTTACCTGCTTCTCCGGCAGGGAGGGGAGGGCGCGCTGCTGGTGTGCAGAGCGGTCCGTGGGCCGCAGGTTGTGGGGGGGCTGGTGCTTCCCTCCATGGCAGCAGTGGCCACCCCCCAGGCGGCACCCGCCCGTAGGCACCTGGCTCGGGCGGTCCCAGGGGACACCACAGCCGTGGAGGGAAGCACCGGGGCCCCGCGCAGCTCAGGCAGATAGGCAGGCTCCAGGGGACAAAATAAAAATAGATCAGGCTCGCTGCTTTTCTTGGGCGGAGACTGCCTTCCCGGGATTGCTGCCAGGCTGTCTGCACGGCTTCCTGCAGAGCCCCTGAGCTGCACAGAGCCTGGTGCTTCACTCCATGGCTGTAGGAGCAGCAAACAAAAACTCCTCAAAGGAGTTTTAGTTTGCTACATCCCAAATCATTTAAGGTGCATTGCGCCACCAGGTTTCCTACAGTGGCTGGAATTAAGGCGCAATACGCTGCCGAGGCGTGCAAACACCAACACTATTAAAGCGGAGCAAAAGCATTTAGCCCATTTTAAAGTGTCGTGCACACATGCCTCTTGTTTCGTCTACAGACGGCACAGTCCCCAAAGATGACAAGGGTGGAATATGCTTCATGAAGACTGAACAGCCCCTCACCCTTGCAAGTTCTCCACCAGTCATGAATGGGGCACAATACTTGAGAGCAGTATGAGAAGGAAGCTTGTATAGAAGCTTCCATACCGTTCCCCTTGAGACCTGCTTAGTGGTTCCAAAAAGTTCAATTTCCTTTTCTTTTCTGTCCACACTTTGGGGTATTTGGCAGGTGAAAAGGGTTGAAGCTAGAAATAATGCTATTCCCCCAAAAAAGCTAATTCTGTGACCAGCTCAGAACAAGAAAGTATTGACCTGGAAGTTTCACTTTATTCCTAGACAAATCTTTACGCTCAAGAGTGTTGGGTTGAGTCAGAAGGGTTTCAGATAATCATCCAAGCTTGTGAAGCCTTATACAACCCTCCAGACTTGCTGAAGCTTCCCAGCACTATTTTGTCCTCTAATACAAATACACTAGGACAAAATAAATCTTCTGAGCTGACTATTACCTGTGTTTATCATTACCAATGAAGAGCAAGCCTGACTTCATTTGTACTCTGATAGACGCAACGCTCAGGTGGAATATACTGCAGTTTAGATTCCAGTTTCACTGGACTCCATTGTTCTATGCATTCTGGTTACAAATCGGTTTATGCTATCACAGGTAGCCTGAAAAGTAAATGTTAGAAAATCTATCTTCTTTGTGAATGATCAAAACCTTCTTTGAATGATAGTACTCCTAAATCTGATTTTTGTTGCAGCAACAGGGCAAGGCAATACTTTATACCTTTCCTATAAAAATCCTCACCTCCCCACCACAATGTACTGAGAGATGTTTTACATGGGGACAGTTGTTCCCTTAGCAGTTGCTAATAACAGACATGAAAAAACCCCCCAAAACAGTTTACCAGAAGAGGAAACATGTGTTTTGATCCAGCTCCCTAGTGTCTGTGTGACGGGCTAGCTGGTAGTGATTTGGTCCAGGGGTTTTGAAATGGTAAAAATGATTGGAGGGCATGGGATTCCCTTTCCTCACCAATCAGGCCATGGAGACTCACCCTCCATGTCCCCTGATTGGCCCCACAGGTCACCTGGAGGGGGATAAAAGTGGCAGTGCAGCTGACTCGGAGAGACAAGCGAGGAAGGATGAGGAAGGAGTTTCAAAGAGCTGGCAAGAGTTCCCCACTTAGCTCCAGCAAGAAGCTGTGCAACGACCCCCAAGGCTCCCAGCTCTGCTTCTGGTTCTCCAGCAAGAGGCAGGGCAGCTCAATGTGAGGCAGGGGCTTCTGGAAGGTCAAAAGCCCTAGCAGCCTGGAGCAGGTGTGGCTGTGGTGGAGTTTCTGCCTGCCATGTGGAAGATCTGAGTTCATGTCCTGGCTGGGATGGGTGAAATGACAGGCAGAAATATTCTTCATAGTTGGTAGGGTTGGAAGGGACCTGAGCAGATCATCAAGTCTGACCCCCTGCCGTGGCAGGAAAAAGTACTGGGGTCAAATGACCCCAGCGAGGTGTTTGTCTAACCTCCTCTTAAAGACCCCCAGGAGCCAGCACCACTTCCCTTGGAAGTTGGTTCCAAATCCTAGCCGCCTTGACTGTGAAGCAGTGCCTCCTGAAG